ACTAATGTCATTTTGCAAGACTGATTATTAATGTCTTACTTGAAAAACTAATCATAAATGTCATATTGAAAAACTAATCATAAATGTCATATTGAAAAACTGATCATAGATGTCATACTTGAAAAATTAGTGTCACTTTCCAAGACTGATTACTAATATCATTTTCCAAGACTGATTATTAATGACTTATGTGAAAGATATTTTGCCAGGCAGGTAACATAGCCCACTGCCAGCTGTCAGAAATGATAACAAAATCTTTAGTGGCTTAATAACGAATTTTCAAATAATCTTAAAGTCATCTATAAGTCAAGACAAAAACCTGAAACAGTTCATCAAATTATAATCAAATTCAAACATGTCTCATCGCTGTACACACAAGGGTAATAACTCTGAAATTGTTCATCCGATTATTACCAATTTCTATCTTGACCAGGATCTCATTAATATTTATATGCATATTTAGTTTCATCAAGATTGTATAAAAACTGTAGTCTCTATCGTGCCTGCGGGCCAAATTTGACAAGTTTTCACTAAGTCAAGAGCAATAACTCTGAAACCCTTCATCCTATTATTACCAATTTCGAACTCAACTGAAATCTCATCAAATCATACGTGCATACTAAGCTCCGTGAGGATCGGATAAAAACTGTAGCCTCTATCGCGCCTACAAGGCAAACTTGACACGTTTTTTCTAAGTCAAGAGCAATAACTCTGAAACCATTCATCCAATTATTACCTATTTCGAACTCAAGTTCTCATCAATATAGACATGCATACCAAGTTTCATCAAGATCAGATAAAAACTGAAGTCTCTATTGTGCTTTCAAGCCAAATTTGATGCGTTTTTACTAAGTCAAGGGCAATAACTCTGAAACCGGTCATCCAATTCTTTCTACTTTCGAAGTTGACCAAGATCTCATCAATATATACATGCATACCATGTTTCATCAAGATTGGATAAAAACTGTAGCCTCTATCGCGCCTACAAGAAATGTGAATGGACGGACTGACGCGATTATACGTCCACATTTCCATGTGGCGTATATAACAACTGTTTAGAAATGTAATTTAAAAAAAAAACTGAATATCAAATAAAATACTATTCACAAAAAATTTTTCATGCAAATATATATTACACACTCAAATCCTTGTCACTTGATAATGACAAATGCTTAGAGAGTTTTGTACATGGACAATAAAACCTAGAATTGGTAGACTACCTCAATATTGTATAATATTCAAAATTCATGCTTTACTGCACATTTAATTAAAATTTTAAATTACACATTAATATAATAGTCATGGTAGGCTGCAGACTCAGAAATGAGTCAAGCTTAACTACTTTTTGCATTGTGAGACAGTATCAGCAAGTCAATCATGCCAAATTATTTCAAAATAAAAGCAGACTGAGAGGAAATAATTGGCGTTAATAAAAGATAAATGATTAAAGAAATAATCTGAACTATATTAATGAGATGGAAAATTAAAGCGAATTTTATTATTTACATTTTTAGACAATAATTATTGGGGCATTTAGGCCTTTTTGGAACATTGAATGCCACTGATTTTATCAGCTTGGTTTCACTTTCAGATGTTAAAAGGTAGAATACGCAGGAGGATTGGTTTTTTGTTTAGTAAAAGCTATTGCATGGCAGAGAGGTTATTGTCATCTGACTGACAGGAAGGCTATGAGATGACTTAAAGGAGCTTTTGTTGGTTGAAAAAAAATATATATTATACCAATATCTGAGTCCCTTTACATATCTGAAAATTTTAACTAAAAAACTCCAGCTGTTCTTATTTTAACGCCAAAAGTAAATAAAAAAATTGTACAGATTTTTTAGCAAAAAAAACCACCAAATTGTAGAAATATGTCTCCTACTTATTCTGAAGGTTTCAACTAATAATATCAAGCTGTTATAAAGACAAACACCAACACTTGGTCAAACTGCTTAATTAACAATTAGTACACTCTGTTTTTGATTAATTGTTATAACTAATTAAGCTTGATCAAATTGAAACATAGGCTTTAAACCTTTAGTATCACAGCACATTAAGAAACATTATTTTTATGGATATAAACCTCTATTTATTATTTAATCACATTCGAGATATTAAATAGAAGACTATATTCATAAAACTATTTTTTCTTAAACTTTTTGGTACCAAGATAATTTTTTAAATTTGTCATTGTCAACCAGGGTTAATTATCACTAATTGGTCACAGATATCACTTTAGACTTGTTACATCAATTTTAGCTGGATTCTTTGATAAAATCAATGATAGGTTTTTTTTTGGTAAATGAGAAGTATTTTTGGGGGAAATAAGTGTGTTTTCTTCAAAATCTATCTAATTCTGTAGTAACTTCATTTAAATTCAGATTTTGATCAATTTATTGATAGTTTTAAGTATTTCAGTGTGAAAATTGATATTTAGTAGTTTGACCATTGACTTATGTGCAAATCACTTTCGAAAACTTGGAAATTGTACCTATTACCGATGGATAGTTTTTAATTTCTCCAGTAACAGAACAACCTATTGACTAAACAAGGTGCAGTGAAAAATAAATTTAGCAGACAAAACACATATTCTGGGTCAAAAACACGGAAATGTACCTTAATGAGATGAATATTACGATTTCTAGAACTATCATAACTAAATTATGGCCATTGAAAGCTTTATTTGATGGAAAGGTTGTCGTTCAGATATCAAGTCATAAAAGGGGTATCATAAACTTAGCTTAAATCAGCATACAACAACAAACACTCAAACAGTCAAATTTTTACTGTCAAAATTGTTTTGGCAGCATACATTTCACACTATCATTTTAACAAAAAAAGAAATCTTATGTATCAAATGCTGAATTAGTAGACAATTCTATTTTTTCTGCATTATTTTATGATGGTTATGTGAATCAAGAATAGAATTGTCTTCATGTGAAAAGTTAGTTAACTTTGATAACATCATACTTGAATACTGTGTATAAAATAATTAATACTACAATATTTTTCACTCTTTTCAATGACTGAATTGATAAAATATATTTCTAAAATATATAATTAAAAATTATTTTGAATGACTTCTCTAGATATTTTTGCAGGAAAATACAACAGTCACTAATAAATCAGTGGTTCATTTCATGTAAATACAACTGTCACTAGATGCAAACTAGATTTTGCATTCGATGCTAAGTCCAAGATTGTGGGCAAATCTAATAGAAATAGAAGACAGTAAATAAAACATAGAGGACTATATGGAAGATTGCAGTAAACACGAATAGAAGGAATAGATTGTAGAGAATTAAAATAAATTCTTGAAGACAATACATAGAAAGATGAGACTGAAGACAATACATATAAAAGAGAAGACTATAGACAATACAGAATGGGATGATTTTAGACAAAACAAATAAAAAGAGAAAACTGTAGACAGAAGAAATAAAAAGATATGCTTGAAGACGATACATATAGAAAAAGAAAACTGTAGACAATGGAAATAGAAAGCTGTAGACAATAGAAATACAAATAAAAAGAGACACTTGAAGATGATATAAATAGAAAGAGAAAGCTGTAGACAATACAAAAGGAAAGAGAATGTAGATGATATACATAAAAAGAAAGACCATTTATATAGAAAGAGAAGACTGTAGACAATAGAAATAGAAAGAAAAGACTGTAGACAATAGAAAAAGAAAGAAAAAACTGTAAATTATACATGGAAAGAGATAATCTTGTAGACAATGCAAATAGAAAGAGAAGATTGTAGACAGTGCAAATAGAAAGAGAAGATTGTAGTCAATGCCAATAGAAAGAATAGATTGTAGACAATGCCAATAGAAAGAGAAGATTGTAGACAATGCCAATAGAAAGAGAAGATTGTAGACAATGCAAATAGAAAGAGAAGACTGTAGACAATGCAAATAGAAAGAGAAGATTGTAGACAGTGCAAATAGAAAGAGAAGATTGTAGACAATGCCAATAGAAAGAGAAGATTGTAGACAATGCCAATAGAAAGAGAAGATAGTAGACAATGCAAATTGAAAGAGAAGATTGTAGACAATGCCAATAGAAAGAGAAGATTGTAGACAATGCAAATAGAAAGAGAAGATTGTAGACAATGCCAATAGAAAGAGAAGATTGTAGACAATGCCAATAGAAAGAGAAGATTGTAGACAATGCCGAAGATTGTAGACAATGCAAATAGAAAGAGAAGATTGTAGACAATGCAAATAGAAAGAGAAGATTGTAGACAATGTCAAAGATTGTAGACAATGCCAATAGAAAGAGAAGATTGTAGACAATGCCAATAGAAAGAGAAGATTGTAGACAATGCCAATAGAAAGAAGATTGTAGACAATGCAAATAGAAAGAGAAGATTGTAGACAATGCAAATTGAAAGAGAAGATTGTAGACAATGCAAATAGAAAGAGAAGATTGTAGACAATGCAAATTAAATTGAAAGAGAAGATTGTAGACAATGCAAATTGAAAGAGAAGATTGTAGACAATGCCAATAGAAAGAGAAGATTGTAGACAATGCAAATTGAAAGAGAAGATAGTAGACAATGCAAATAGAAAGAGAAGATTGTAGACAATGCAAATTGAAAGAGAAGATTGTAGACGATGCAAATAGAAAGAGAAGATTGTAGACAATGCCAATAGAAAGAGAAGATTGTAGACAATGCAAATAGAAAGAGAAGATTGTAGACAATGCCAATAGAAAGAGAAGATTGTAGTAGACAATGCAAATTGAAAGAGAAGATTGTAGACAATGCCAATAGAAAGAGAAGATTGTAGACAATGCCAACAGAAAGAGAAGATTGTAGACAATGCCAATAGAAGAGAAGATTGTAGACAATGCCAATAGAAAGAGAAGATTGTAGACAATGCCAATAGAAAGAAGATTGTAGACAATGCAAATAGAAAGAGAAGATTGTAGACAATGCAAATAGAAAGAGAAGATTGTAGACAATGCCAATAGTAGTAATGCAAATTGAAAGAGAAGATTGTAGACAATGCAAATAGAAAGAGAAGATTGTAGACAATGCAAATAGAAAGAGAAGATTGTAGACAATGCCAATAGAAAGAGAAGATTGTAGTAAACAATGCAAATTGAAAGAGAAGATTGTAGACAATGTCAATAGAAAGAGAAGATTGTAGACAATGCCAACAGAAAGAGAAGATTGTAGACAATGCAAATTGAAAGACAAGATAGTAGACAATGCAAATAGAAAGAGAAGTTTGTAGACAATGCCAATAGAAAGAGAAGATTGTAGACAATGCCAACAGAAAGAGAAGATTGTAGACAATGCCAATAGTAGTAATGCAAATTGAAAGAGAAGATTGTAGACAATGCAAATAGAAAAAGAAGATTGTAGACAATGCAAATAGAAAGAGAAGATTGTAGACAATGCAAATAAAAAGAGAAGATTGTAGACAATGCAAATAGAAAGAGAAGATAGTAGACAATGCAAATAGAAAAAGAAGATTGTAGACAATGCCAATAGAAAGAGAAGATTGTAGTAGACAATGCAAATTGAAAGAGAAGATTGTAGACAATGCCAATAGAAAGAGAAGATTGTAGACAATGCCAATAGAAAGAGAAGATAGTAGACAATGCAAATTGAAAGAGAAGATTGTAGACAATAGATAGGAAGAGAAGACTGTAAACAATACATATAGAAAGGGAAGTTTGTAGACAATACATAGAAAGAGAAGAATGTAAACAATACATATAGAGAGGGATGATTGTAGACGATACAATAATTGACAATACAGATAAAAAGATATTGTAGACATCAATAATTCCTCATCAAAAGAAATAATATAGAAAAAATCATTCATAGAAAATAGTGATGATGAAATAGATAATGATAGGATTTGAAAGTTGTTAAACTGCCTCATTTGGAAATCTTGTATTGAAAGATTGTGCATTTCGCAGAAACTTGTCTCAAACCCTTCATAAAATTTTAAATTTCAGTTAAGAGAATAAAAAAAATGACTAACCAATAACAGGCAATGATGGTACTCCTGTATTGACAAACTAAATAAGTATACTCTATTTTTCAAGCTCAATAAAAGTGACAATTTAAAGATCAATATTACAGCTACAGGTAGAGACTATATATATATATTAATATAAGCCTTTATGCTCTAGTTCATATTGAGTATGCATTGAATTAAATTAATATTGATTTTCACGTATACCATTGAAACCCAACACAATTTGAAGGGATCCAAATATGGTGACATTTATAGCTTCTCTTGCACAATTCTGACACAGGCCACCTCTACCAGATTATATATCATTCAAACAAACTGTCCTCATGATTAATTTACTCATCAGCATCCAATAGATATGTTTCAGGGTTATACAATAAAGGGATTCATTCATTGGGCAATTACCATATCTCACCAGGGAAGTTTCATTGAAATCTAGTTAAAACTAAATGCAGATTTTTACACCTTAAATCAAATGTAATACAGTAAAAACATATTAGATAAGAATGTATTGTCTGTACTTTTACCATCTACTTAGAGTGATTCATTCACCTTTTTGACTAGTACACAAACAATGTGACAAAACAATGTTCTTTCAATAAAATCTTTATATACTTGAGCAGATCAAATCAATCAATATCTTTATGCAACTGCAATTTTCAACGTTGAATTGGTTGTAGACAAATGTTATAAATCATAGGCAGTAGGCAGCTGTCATATATGGTCTCACCTGAACTAAAATTTGTAATTCTAACTAGGAACTCCCAGATGTTGCCATCTACAAGCAGTTATGGACATCATTTGACATTTAACTCCTTTTAGTTATCATTAACAGAGTATTTTAAAAAGTCTTCCGATTCCATTAAAAGAAACAAAAAATAAAAATACAATATCAATTATCTGATAGACCCTAACATAAAGACATAAATTAAAAAGAAGCGAGCCCTGAAAGTTTACAGGAAGTAGTCTTGATATGAAAGGATGGCTCAGTTGATGATGAGGAGCACGGCCTGGCTCCAGAGCTGAAAACAAATGTGAACATCCAACTTGTGCCAAGACTTCTATAAACTACAATTATCTAAGTGTTGGGATTCCCACAAAATCATTTAATGAAGCATCCCGGAGAATGTTAGATAATAGGTGCTTTCACCTATGCCATGTCATTTGAGGTGTCTGGAGGAGTAATCAAACACAATCTATGTCGCAGATTCTTGTAAAATAAATACTGCTAATAGGCCTACTCCTCACATGGAGTCGATTTGTAAAATACAATTACAATTTCTGAGTTTTGTGATTTTTACCAACACTTTTTGGTCAACAGAATATAAGTATAAATGTTTGGTCATTGGTGTTAATAGCTCTCATGACATTAGTGAAAAAATGACCTGCAATAAAAATGTTATGTATAATTTTTTATTTCAGTGCCTGATACTATGACAATAAAAAAAATCTACTAATGATCCGAACCAAATAACAAAACCTGAAATCCAAAACAACAGTTTGACAATACATTGGTAGCAGTCAATAAGCAACTGATGTGATATGGTTAAAATATTTTCATTATAAATAATTTACTGTTATTCCACATTGGCCCTGTGATAACTGTGACTCATAATTATTTGCCAATTATCACTAAGTTTAAATCGGGAGATTTTTCCAAAGCGCTTACATTCATGATTTGAAAATCCAAATTGATTTTTGTTTTAAAATAAGCCTTGTAAATCAATTATATTGATCATAGACATACATGACACAGTAAAAATTAGGGATAAGCCTACCCAGGCAAAATAATTCTAGAAATAGTGCCAGATATTTCAAATTTTGGGGCCCAAAATTTTTGAATATTGTTGTTTTTCAGTATTGATTGAATCAAAAATAATGTCAAGGCGAAAGGATGTTTGAAAAATAGGAAAGCAAGCATGATCCTAACCCTCTAAATTAAATGGTACAGGTAGGCCTACATCAAACATGTAATACCATATTAAAAAATGTTCTGAAAGCAATATTGAGTAAATAATATGTACTTGCAATGTTACTTTTTCCAAACATGTAGTTCATGACATCTAAAATATCCCCAGTCCGGTCATTCAATAATTAAACAATCAAGGCAGAGCCCTCAAGTTCTGCTTTGAGCACATCCTGACCTGTTCTTATTTACATTTATGCTATGGTTTTTTTTAATTATGTGTAATTATGTGTAAGTATTGGTTTATGCAATCTGGCCAAGTATTCCCAAACTATCTTAGCGCTAGGATGTCCTAGTTTCTTATCTGCTAACATTGATTCTATGACATCCTAGCGCTAAGATTGCTTCGAGAATATGTGGCCAGGTTTGTAAATGGTATGTTTTTAAATGTTCTGGTTTGTGCCCATTTATGTCATTTGTGACAAAATTGCAACTTAAACACATCGTTTCTATTTAAATTCCTACCAGAGTTTGAATCTAAATACTAATATATTGTCACCACTCCCAACTTACTAGAGTTTGAATCTAAATACTGGTATTGTAACCACTACTATCTAAATACTTATAATTACATTGTAACTACTCACAATTTACCAGAGTTTGAATCTTAAAACTTCTATAGTAACCACTCTCAACTTACCAGATTTTGAAAGTAAATACTTATATTGTAACCACTCTCAACTTACCAGAGTTTGAAAGTAAATACTTATCTTGTAACCACTCTCAACTTACCAGAGTTTGAAAGTAAATACTTATATTGTAACCACTCTCAACTTACCAGAGTTTGAAAGTAAATACTTATATTGTAACCACTCTCAACTTACCGGAGTTCAAAAGTAAATACTTATATTGTAACCACACACCACTTCCAGAGTTTAAATCTAAATGCTTATATTGTAACCACAGACCACTTCCAGAGTTTAAATCTAAATACTTACATTGTAACCACACACCACTTACTAGAGTTTGAAACTAAATGCTTATATTGTAACCACTCCCAACTTACTAGATTTTGAATCAAAATACTTATTTTGTTACTACAGAGCACAAGCCAAGGTTAGGAACTAAATACATTTCCTTGTATTCTAACAAACACTTCACTTACCAGATTCAAACAAATTCATTTCAAAATTCTAGCTATTAAATCTTAAATTTGTGCAAATAGTTAACGTTTACATGATAATAACTCTCATCCTTTTTGATTTTGCAAGTTTATATTCTACTTATTATATATTGTTATTTTTTAAAGCCATTGTAATGTTGATTTTCAATACTAATATCAATAATATGTGTCAAATTTATTAAAATGCAAAGCAGATGATGTGTATTACTTTAACTTAATGCCAATTTTATTCATTAATTTTAAATGGTATTACATATCACGTCCAGTCTTTTATAGGTCTAGTAAGTTAATTTGATTCAAAAAATTATACCTTTAGTAAATATGTAAATATTTTCACACTTCAAATATACCATTAATTAGCTCAATATACCTCAAATTAGTATCCAGATAAGATGATCTACACAACTTCATACAGCTTATAATTTGAAACAGATGTGTTTTCATCATGCTAACGAAGTTCGATATATATGTGTTATTTCTTTTCATCTTAAATCAACACAATTAGCCAAAAACCAGTTTATACCGATATTTATATCCATATCCTCCATATCACGAGATATTAATGATAGATGCCTACTTATGGCCTGGGTGTAGCCTTTGTTAAAGTATATACCTAAAAAAACATCATATCCCAATATCTCATCAAAGCTTCAGAATCAGATAAAGCATTCTACCTTATGGGTTTGTGTCTTCAAGCCAAAATGATAATCTTTTGAAATATAAATGAAAGATTTATGTCTAACAGATCAATTTGGTAATATAAATTTTATGGATGAATAATATGCACTTTATTTCTACACCAGGGGGTTATAAATAAGTAATAAATAAAGATATTTAACACGAGAGGTGTCAAGATTAAAAATCTGATATCTAACATTTTGATCAAAAATGAGTTCTGTAGCCAACATGTATATCAAAATGTTTGTTTCGAGGTAAGTAACAACCTGATATTCTACTGAAAGTTACTCAATGAATCTACTTTATTGGTTTGCAATTGAGTCACCTCAATACATTTCCCTAAAAATGTCTTAACCAGACTTGATTGATCGGAGGGGCAAATAATATATCCAGAGGTGCAATGGGTTATGGTGTTTAATTAAAGTAATGAAATGAGACATGATGATAATGATAAATACTAATATCAATGATTATTTTTGAACATTCAGCAAGCTACTTTCATGTATTGGTATGTGACAATATCTCTCATTCAATAAAAAGTGAGGTTATTTTAATAAGTTGGTGAATGGAATCTCGATTTTTTGGGGTTTCTGTTGGAAATTATTGGAAACTTAAGGCAGTGGACATTAACCACTCCCATCAACTACATAACCAAATATCACAGTTACAAAGCTATAAATTATCATATACTCAAACTTTGATGAAATGTGTTAATTACATCCCATTACCAACTATCCCATATCATATCATATATCATATATTTTGTCATCAACACATTGATCACCCTCACTTAATTCAACACACGGCATACAAGCCTGGCCAAAACTCAATTCTTAAAATTGTAGAACCATTAGAGTGAAATTATTCTCGAGAAAATTACTAAAGTTTGTTTATAAGCAGAATTAATATTATCAGTATATATAAGATGGTTTGTCTGATTCCCTAAAAACTACCCATAAAAGTAATGGAATTACCCAATAGTAATGTTAGAGAACGTTGTTCTATTGTTCATTTTCTTAATTTTTTATACTTTTCAACTAGATAAAAATGAACAAAGGTAAATAACTCTGTCTTTCATATACAATGAAATTAACATCTAACCATATTTTTTTTCAGTCAAAATTAAAATGTTACCTTCAAAATATCTGGTTGTAATCTTAAAATATCTGAACAAAATTTGCAATATTTCATTGATTCGTGTGAAAATTGGTATAATTTACTTACATTATAATAAGCGACTAAACAATTATGTCATATTTGTGACCATGGTTACAATTACAAGGAATATTACCAAAGATAAAATTGCAAAGTAAGCCCTTTCACTACAGTAAGGTAAACTAAGAAGTAATCTAACTACATAAAAACCATAAACAAATCCAAAGTTTATTATCAAGAGCAATATCACACTGTGCAACAAATTTCTATATATTTTCTATGTATGTCAAAATCAATAGAAATATTTAAACAGAATTAAAAAACATGTTGTTGTTACTTGTTTTTTAGGTTCTGTTTTAATATTTCTATATCGCTCTACAATTGATGTATTGAGCTCTATTTTCACAGTGGAAATATTATATTATTGTCAGAGTCAATGTATAACTGTTTATTTTTCTATAGTATTTCGGCAGTTATACAATATGATGGTCCCACATTGATTTGATGTCTGTTATATCTAAATTAATGACATTGCATGTGTTCCAATCTTTAGCAGAAACTGTAACTATCTTTGTCATACAGAGAAAAAACTACTTCTGAATCTTAAACAATCTGAAAAGTATACTACCTCTAAGGATGATTAAAATTGAAATTATTAAACTTGGCCAAAATAAGTCTTTGTTCATCAGTGGACTTCTATGATGTCATACAACATAATCCCTTTTTAATCAAATAAATCCATAAAAATAAGTAATAATTTATCAAACTAAGTAATTTTGAAACATTCTTAGAAATGTGTTTCAATTGTTATTTAGTTTAATGGATATTTAGTCTTAGATAGTGATTCTTTTTTTCGTCATAGTACCTGGTGAGTCCAACTGATGCATATATACTATTATTGAACAATTTAGAGACTTTAAATTGTTATGTCCATTCTAAAGTAGTATCACTTTAAAAACCAAAACTCACAGCGTCTCTTATTTATTATTTCTATATAATTTCATAAATATCAAAGCTCAACAAGCACCTGTGTTTCAAGTCCAAACATTACTAATATTGTTGGTGTCAGCTGGAACATTTACTTCATTTACATACTTTTATACATAGTTTCTCGAGTCAGATCCCTTTTAGACACGCCTTGCAACTATGCACTTTCGAATTTGAATCTCAAGCTTAACAGTTGTCCCCACATTTAAGCAATCTGACCTGTTACTACTCTACATACTTTAGGGAAAGTTGAATTTGTGGATTGGTTTAACCATGAATCCATGAAAACTGAGCAGCAAGTTTTCACAGTATCAGTGTCTTACCAGTTGTTTATTCGATGTCTATATAGTCTGTCTCTTTTCGTGCAATACCATATCTATTGACAAGTAACCAACCTGAGTACAACATGCACAAGGCATATGAAGACAAAGAGATGGAATTGAAAATTTGAAGACCTACCTGAATCATACAGAACTTCATTATTAAGCTCTCTTTTCTTTCTAAATTTTTGTTTCTGCTTTGAAACTGTAGATTTGTAGTCATTCTTAACATCTCTCTCAGAACAACTATCTTGATTTGACTTTTGCATTCCAGACTCTGTATCAGCCAATGATTCCAGGACTTGACTTCTGCGTCTTTTTCTAATAAGAATGTCATTATTTTCCATTTTATTTTCAGACAGCTCCTCTCTTAACTTCTGAACCACTTTGAGAATTTTTTGTTTCTCAGATTTTAGTTTCTCATTTAATTTAAGTTCTTGATCAATATCTTCCAGTTCGTCACAAGAATATATGAGAGTCTCATCACTCATTATCTCTTCCATTGGGCTACCCTTCTTCCACACTTGTGTTTCATCTGTATTAGCTGATCCACAATCAGACATTGTATCCTCTCCTTCATCTTCCTCATTTTCATCTACACAATTTGTCAGCTCAATTACAGGACTAAGTTTGGGTGGACTTAGATCAGAGGATGAGGAGAAATAGAAAGGGGAAGATTCCGATGATGCAACTGATGATGTTGATGCTATAGTTGATGAATTGATGACTAAGTTATTGGCTGATATGTGACTACACACTATGCGACTCAGTGGAATGGAAATATGAATGTGGGGATTATTATGGTCTGGTTGTCTTGTTAACTCCGTTTTTGGACTTCTGTCACTGTTTGGAACATCTAATTTGTGTTCTACTTCCTCACTTTCCAAAATGTCAATGTTAGGTAATGCTTTTTGCTCAATAAAAGATTCTGAATTGATAATTTTGTCAGAGGGTCCAGTTATATTAAGTTCATTTGTTTGTTCTTCATATCTGTTTGACCTTATTTCATTCACACCATCACAAAGTTTTGACATATCATAAGAAGATTTAACTGGCTCAGATATTTTCAAAATTGTGCCCAAGGAAGAGTTAGTAGGAGTCAAAGAAGCTACTGCATCTCCTGGCAGTGTATGTGGAAACGTTACTACATTAGTACTATTGACCTCAGAGGATGACACTACTTGTTCCTCACTGTCCTTTACAGTCACCTGAAGCCGGCTTACAAACACATCTGTCTGATTTGCCTGACTCAGTTGAATTATTGTCTTAAATTCACTTGGATCACTTGTCAACAACTTTTCAGTTAAACTGTTTGTGCTTATTTTAAATAACCCCTTGTCCAATGGTTTTTGTGGTAGAGATGTCCATTTAGTATCAAATTGTTTAATAGATAAGATAGGTCTAACAATTGAATTAGTGGTAATTGATTGTGGGATGTATTTATTAGTTTTTGTTGGTGCAAGATGTCTTCCAGCGTCAATCTGTGTAGAAAATGATCCAACTGTAAAGGGAGTTCTTTCTATGTTAAAACTCTGAGCATCACTATTAGATTTAGATGGAAGGTCATCACTTGAAGTATGGGATATCATATGACTTGAGGGCATGGCAAGGGAACAGTTCTGATTGAACTGGGCTTCATTTGAAACAGGAACCTGTTCATTTTCTACAGTTTCAGGTCCAGCAATAGGAAGTCTTGAAGTCTGTTTATCATTTGCATCTAAGGATAAGTATGTAGAACATGGTCTTAAAACAAATCTTTGGGTATTAATTTGCTCTAAGGAAGGAATGACTGTGCATAATGGACTTCTAACAAGAAGTTGTAGTTGTGATGGTTTGGCCGTAAATTCACTTATTGTTTTAATATCATTGGGTTCTGATGGACCTACTTCAGAATATGATCCCAATTCTTTAGTAGACTGTGATGAGGATGGAGAAACCTCAACTCTTGCCATCAGATCAGTTTCAGGTACCATTGATTTAGGATGTGTCATATGATCTACTCCACTTGTGCATACATTTGCCATGGAAACTACAGGTAAAACATTCTTTACAGGAGAAACAGGACCTGAATGTTCAGTGTTATCAGCATCTTGGAGTATAGTTTCATCACTTTGTTGATGCTCTGTCACAGAATTAATATCTACAGGAACTGGTACTGGTTTAGATAAATCATTGTCCGTACCAATTGATTCTGTCCTAGGTTTCTGTACTGTTTCCTGGGACTGAGTCTTTGGTTCTTCATCATAATCATAAGAAGCAATTCTTACAGGAAGCTTCATTCCTTCATTGATACACAAACTTTTTGTGTAGTATAAAGGACACCCTTCATACAAGTATCTTTGATTAGCAATATCAAGCTCATTTGGTTTGAGTTTTGATTTTTTGTCATCATTTTTCACAAACTCCAAATATGGCATCTCTTTACTGTTATTTTCAATTGATTTCTTATCATCTAGTTTATATTCCAAATTATTTTGGGAATCAGGTAACTCTGAAAAGCTTGAGGAAGTGCTTGCATCATCAACTTTGGAAATTACAATTTGACTACAGCCCTCCAAACTATTCTCATCAACTATCAATGTAAAGTTGTCAGAAGATACTGCATCTGGTGTCTGGTCAGGTAGAGCTGTACTTTCCACTTGAACCTGAGTTGCATTTGAAACATCTGAATTTTTCTCTTCAACATATACATCATTCATATCAGCACAAATCGAACTGGTGCTATCTGGTAAATCATTTGTAACCTCATGAACAGTTTGTAACACATCTACAGACTTCTCTTCTTGAAATTGCTGACCAGTACTTTCAGGAACTGTTTGTAGAATTTCCTCAGCGGAATCAGTGTGAGACCCACCATCCTTTTGAGGCAAATTTGTGGGAGTAAACTGTTGTTCTGATGCATCATTATCGGAGAGTAAGCTTGGATCATTAAAAGGTTGTTCCATTTCAACTGGTATTGAAGCTAAATCTTCTGCAACACTAAAACTGATTTTTTCTGAGAGTGAAACCTCAGCAACAGGTTGAGATTGTTCTGTATCAGGTTTATTGGTAGAAGATGGGCTTGTTTCACTGGAAAAAGTAGATACTTGCAATGTAATACTTGGGTCATTTTCCTTTCCTCTACTGGCAGGAGTGTCTTGTTTTGATTTTTCATCTTCTACCAATTCTTCTTTTTTGTTTTGTGAAGAACACTCTTCTGCTACATCACCACTGTACATTGATTTTTTGGGAATATTGTTGATCAACTCATTCTCTTCAATTTTAGAAACATATTCAGATATTGATGAATTAGAGATATCTTCATAGAGTAACCTTTTAGGCAGTGTAAATATGGTATTTTGATCTGAGTTATTTCCAACTGGTTGAGGACCATCATTTGAACTTGGTGCAATATGATTTGAGAAGTTTTTTTCCAAAGAGTCAAATGTAGATGGAGTATTTTGACTTTGTTTTTCTTCCCCTTGCTTTTCAATGTCTTCAATCCTTTCTTTGTCAGAAGATGATTCATTGTCGTTAATTTCATTTGTGTTGCCAACTACTTCTTCTTGAATGGAAGGTTTAATGCTATCTCCCTTGTCTGAAGGCTCATGTATATTTGTGGCCTCTTTTAAACCTTCCATTTGCTTACTATTCGCCATGAGAGAAGTGGATGGTTGGTCTATTTCATTATTTTTTGATATTTCAGGACCATGTTCTTGTTCACTGGAACTACTGCATAAAGTTTGAGAACTTTCAATAGTCTTTCCATAACCAACAGAATCTTCAGAAATCTTTAAAGAGTTCTCATTCTGGTCTGTGTGAATCAATTTGTCAGTTACGTTACTTTCACAGATTGTGATGTTGCAAGGTTCAACTGAGATTTTGCTCACAGTGTCAACACTGACTACACAGTCCCTAAGCATGACCTCACCGTTGCTCTCCATATTAGTTGAATTATACAAATTTTGTATCACAACACTTTCAATAATCTCAGGACAATGTTCACTAATTTCATTCGAAATCACACTTTGCTGGTCTTTATCTACAAATGGAGGGTTGTCTGATATGGCTGATGTTTGACAGCCTTCTTTGTTACTTTGAAGTAACACTTTTTCCTGTACATATGCAAGTGATGTGTCAGCTAAAATTTGCTCTGAAAGGGATATTTTGCGCACTGATATTTCTTGAACTAGTGTTTTTGATTGTTCGTATTCAGGAATTTGATTTAAGATGGGTGTTCGAGTCAATAAAGCACAAGAGACAGTAGCATGTTCTAACACTGTATCTTCCACAACTGTAGTCTCAACTTCCACTTCAGACACAAATGATTCCAAAGCAAATTCGTTCAATTCTGGATCCAGGAATTCACTTGATATGGGGGATTTCACAGATATTACAGATGTTTGAAGTTCTAATGAACTAGATTTGTTTTGATCACTGTTATTGTTCACAGCTATAGAGTCCTTAGAAGAAGTATTTTCATTTAGAGCATTAGGAACAACATTGGCAGATAGAACCTCAGCATTATCCAACACATTTTCCTCTAAAGCAATGTTATTTGTGGTTGAAATACAGTGATCTTTATCCATAGCACCATTCGGCATACAAATTTTGTCTCCTGAAAAGGAAACGTTAGTACTGGATAATAGTTCTGACACATTATTTAAGGTTTGTTCTTGAGTTTTGGGAATAGTATTTAAGTCTTGGTCTTGAATTGCTAAAGCTGACGATTTTAGAGGTGTTGACCTATTCTGTTTAGCTCTGGAGTCACTAACAATCCTGGATACCTTGTCTATTGATGAGTAATTCTTTTGTGATTTGGAAAAATTTTTACCCTCAGGTCCTTTTCTTTCTCTGCTGGACCTTTCTGCTACATCCCATCTGCTAGTAGGCTTTCTTTTCTGGATATCATCTTTGATCCCTGTAATAGTTATTACCTCATCTTTGTCTGGTATAATGGTGGTGGGATCATTAGTGCTACTTATTTGTGGATACTGAATTGACAAAGAAGATTGTTTATTATTATGTGAGGATTCGATCGGTTTCTGCTCACTTTGTTTATGTTTGTGATGCTGTTCAGATTTAAAGTTATTTTTCTTGTTGTGGTGACGACGAGTTTTGTGGTCTCTATCACATTGTTTCTGAGTAGCTCTAGTTCTTCTCCTTTCATGGAAGTCATCTTTACATTCAGATCTCGCTTGATGATTAACAGGCTTCCTTTCATCATTCCTACTTTTATCTCTTAATAAAGTTTGAGAAACTTTACTACCACATTTTGATATATTTCTAGAATTGTTCATAGTTCCTTGGAGGCTATTTCTCAACTTATCCAAATTAAATAAATGTCCCTTTTTCAGGAAACTCTTTTCAAGACTTTTAGGACTTTCCTTTAATTTGAAGGCAAGGGTACTGCCATTCGAATTGGTATTACATGCTTTTTGAAGTGTTTTGGACATGGACATAACTTTTGGATCAACCCAAATGGAGTCACAATTTGTAGAAGAGATTAATTTCTTAGTGTCATCCAACTCTTTCTCCATAGAGCTCAGAAAGCTTTCACGATCACGTTTTAGTTTTGAATGTTCACAGTGTATTTTCAATGAATCAGCAGCTTCTGAACTGGGTTTGGTAATATCGAAATCTGTCTGACCACACTGAGCAACTGTTTGTTTTGAATCACCAGTAGTCTTGTTCACAATTTTCAACTTATACTTCCTTCTAATACTGCATGGAATTTCACTTAACATTACTTTGGCTTTTTTAATCCAAATATTTTCGTAATCTACTTTTGAAAGGGGTGGAAACACTCTTATTTTGATGCATCTGGATTGGGGCTTCCTTCTTAGATTTGAATTATCCACAGGTTTCTTTAAAACATCTTGAACATTTGGACTGATACTGTCATCCATAGGATCAGAGTTATTATTCAATTTCAATGGTGCCTTATTAGGAGAAGTGTATTTATTTTCAGTTTTACATGTCTCTGTCAAAGCAGTTTTTTTGTCTTGATCAATATTTTTCTCTTTACCTTTGGACATTTTAATTATTTTGGGATTATCTTTACCAATAATATGGTCTGTTTTGTCATCACATTTTGTACCAGTTTCAGCAGTGGGTTCTTTTTTCTTACACCTGACTCTATAAGTATCATAAATGGATCTTTCGGTTTTGTTTACAGAAGGTACCGCAACACCAACCATGGAAGTTTTGAGTCTTGGATCCCTAATATCTGGAAAGCATTTCTTTGAGATTTTTTCTGAATTGTCATCCAATTTTGGCTTCTTCCATTCAGTAACTTTCTTATCTTGTTGGTAACATTCTCTCTCGTATCCACGTTTTGAGATTGTTGATTCTGAGATTTTAGACAATCTGAATGGTTTGGTATATTGGTTTTCACATTCAGAGGATCGAGATAAGTTTTTCCGATAAACGGGTTGGAGGCCAGACAATTGATCAAGATAATTGTGCATATCTTGACTGCTAGATATATAGTTGTTATCATACATCTTTGGGTAGACATGATCAGTTGACCAGAAACAAGCTAGCCATTGAATACCTGAAACGACAAAAAATAAAAACAAATCAAAATCTGATGATTGAAAGGATGTAAATCTGGATCAATCTGTTGCATATGTTTAAATTATTATCACTGTTTATATTTGGTATTCTGACCTTATACGCAGAATTCCATATTTCTTTTACAAGGATATTATCATTTCATTATTCGGGTCTTTCTAGAATGTCTTTGGGTGCTCCGATTTGACAATTATCAGTCCTGATTACACCTCATAGCAGTGAAGTGTAACAGGAGTTGAAACGTGCTCTAAAGATTAAGCCAATTTGCTTCTAACCTTATTCTTTAGAAACCTGATTGTCCCCAGTTGTAAATTAACCCATACCAATGTAAAAAGTAACATGGTTGTATGCTTCAAACTTATGCCTTGCTAGATGTCTACTATAGCCTCTTTTGTCTTATATATTTTGAACACATTGGACCTCTTAAATGATGGTTTTGCCTTTTAGAGACTCACAAACAAAAACAGGGTAGGTCACTGAGCATAAATCTGAGAGTGCACATACTCAATTTTTCCCAGAAACAAGTATTCATATGTACCACAATTGAACCCAACAATTACAACTTTTATGCACAAAAGTTAGATATAAACAATAATTCAAATTTATATTGAGGACAGGAAATGATGAGAAATGTTACTCAAATAAAGATAATATTAGCCTAAATAAACACAATATATTGATAGTGAGCTGTTATTCAGAGGGGAATTTGATATTATACAGGAAATATGATCATCAGAATGTTCAAACTATCATTAAACGGACAGTCTGATTTTTTAAAATTGTCTTTTGAGTCTTGGTGTAAAATACTTCTAAATGTATGTAAAACATTTAGAGGAGTATGGCCCTAAAGTGATAGTTTCAATTTGAAACAGCTTAACAAATCGTTGCCTAGCAAGATACGCCCACTTCCCTGATAAATTTTCAGCATATCAAGGTCGGTCGTTAATCCATGTGAATTCATACTTGTCCAAGATATTTCTGAAGCCAACAAACAGGATTTCGTAAAATTCTGACATAAACTCAGCTGTGGCCTCTATCGTGTTCACAGGCCACATTCACATAAGTAAGTGTAACATTCACAAATTTTTGCATGATTTTACTAAGTCAAGAGCATGTTCATGGAAGAAATCGTCAAATTCAAACATTACCAAGATTTCTTTGTTATAGATGATCACTTCAAATTTCATTAAATCCAGATGAAAGCTCTACAATGTTCACAAACAAATTTTGATGAGTTTTTACTTAGACAAAGGCAATAACTAAAAAATCATCAACTTAATACTTGATTAAGATCTCATCATTATAAATTTCATTTAAATCTGATGATTAATGTATTCAAGGGCAATAACTCAAAAACTGTACATGAAAAAATCGTCAATTCAAACATGACTAACATCTCATCAATATGAATGATCACACCAAGTTTCATCAGGTAAAAATTGTAGACTCTATTTCTGACACGAATATTTCTGATCAAAATCCATCTCTTGTTTTAACCAAACCCTTTGCACATAATATGTAAAATGTAAGATAGCTTGCCAGGCAAGGTAATATACGCCCACTGATAGCTTTGTTTGAAATTGAATATTTGTTAGAAAATAGCAAACATAGACACCAGGAAATATTCAACTTATACCCAAATCCATCACAAACTGTGCCATCACAAGTTAAAAATCAAACACATTTGTAAGAATAACGGCAATAACTTGTATTCTATATTTCAAAAGGTTTAGTTTTGATTGTTCATCAAGTTGTCAAATTTGTTTTAGACTTCTGCTTTGTAGAATAAAAATTACGTGTTGTACAAGATTTTTGATCAGATTTATCCTTGGGTGATTTCAATAAGTCTGTCATGAATTGTGTATTTGCAGATTATATTCAAAAATATAGGCAATAATTCATACTACATATTTTTCGATTTTCCTGATTTTTCTATAGGGTTTATCCTTGGGTGAATACGAACACTCATACCAAGTTTCGTCAAAATCTGTCAAGAATTGTGCCTTCTAGAGTGTTTACGAGCTAAAAATTGAACGGTTTGCAAGAACAAGGGCAATAATTCATACTAAATATTTTTCCTATAGTAGCCTACTTATCCAGCAACTCAATTCAATCTCCCAAGAAACAAAACCTTTCCCCTATGACCCATGTTTAATTTCATTTTTGTATCAGCACAATTGGTGAAAATGAAATGATTAAGCAAACCTTTTCTCTTGAATGACATTTATAAAATGAAATCAGATAAACTGCTGCATCTTGGGATGTCACATGACTAAGCTATGATTGGATATCTGTCTTGGATTTTCCACTTGGTCTATTTATAGTATCTTATGATGCTGTACATGTATGGTGGCTGGTTAGAGACATGTTAAATGATTAAATTAAATTTTCTTATTTGTTAACCAAAATAGTTTCTCAGGAAAATAATGACATCTATTGTAAATTGTGATTATGAACAAAAAAATCGTGACTTGTAGAGTCTGTCAAGAATTGTGCCTCCTAGAGTATTTACGAGCTAAAAATTGAACGCGTTTTCAAGAACAAGGGCAATAATTCATACTACATATTTTTCAATTTCCCTGATTTTTCTATAGGGTTTATCCTTGGGTGAATACGAACACTCATACCAAGTTTCGTCAAAATCTGTCAAGAATTGTGCCTTCTAGAGTGTTTACGAGCTAAAAATTGAACGGTTTGCAAGAACAAGGGCAATAATTCATACTAAATATTTTCGATTGCGCTGATTTTCAATAGGGTTTATCCTCGGGTGATTACAAACACTCATACGAAGTTTCGTTAAAATCCATCAAGAATTGTGCCCTGTAGAGTGATTACGAGCTAAAAATTGAACGTGTTTTCAAGAACAAGGGCAATAATTCATACTAAATATTTTTTGATTTCGCTGATTTTCAATAGGGTTTATTCTTGGGTGATTACGAACACTCATACCAAGTTTCGTTAAAAGCCTTCAATAATTATGCCTTCTAGAGTGTTTACGAGCTAAAAATTGAACGTGTTTTCAAGAACAAGGGCAATAATTCATACTTAATATTTTTCGATTTCGCTGATTTTCAATAGGGTCTATCCTTGGGTGATAATGAACACTCATACTAAGTTTCGTCAAAATCTGTCAACAATTGTGCCTTCTAGAGTGTTTACGAGCTAAAAATTGAACGCGTTTGCAAGAACAAGGGCAATAATTCATACTTAATATTTTTCGATTTCGCTGATTTTCAAAAGGGTCTATCCTTGGGTGATAACGAACACTCATACTAAGTTTCGTCAAAATCTGTCAATAATTGTGCCCTGTAGAGTGTTTACGAGCTAAAAAATGAACGCGTTTGCAAGAATAAGGGCAATAATTCATACTAAATATTTTTCTATTTTGCTGATTTTCAATAGGGTTTATCCTTGGGTGATTACGAACACTCATACTAAGTTTCGTTAAAATCTTTCAAGAATTATGCCTTCTAGAGTGTTTACGAGCTAAAAACTGAACGCGTTTTCAAGAACAAGGGCAATAATTCATACTTAATATTTTTCGATTTCGCTGATTTTCAATAGGATCTATCCTTGGGTGATAACGAACACTCATACCAAGTTTCGTCAAAATCTGTAAAGAATTGTGCCTTCTAGAGTGTTTACGAGCTAAAATTAACAAGGGCAATAATTCATGCTAAATATTTTTCGATTTCGCTGATTTTCAATAGGGTTTATCCTTGGGTGATTGCGAACACACATACTAAGTTTCGTTAAAATCCGTCAAGAATTGTGCCCTGTAGAGTGTTTACGCGCAATTATGGACGGACGGACCGACAGACATGGGTGACGACAATATACGCCCCCCATTTCATGTGGGCGTATAAAAATGTAAAAGAAAGGGTTTTTATATTATAGTATGACACACAAAAAGCCATGTTTAAAAAACAACAGAATGTCCCTTTAACCCTTTCAAACTCCAGTTTTTCCCCTTTGAAATCCAAGTATTTACCACAATGACTTAAATGTTAATTTCTATGAAAATCTCAATAAATCTTTGACCTTTATATGACTTAAACCAATCATGTTAGTTTTCAAACATATAAAGCAATGTCTAGTTATGGTAGAAGCTGTGTTTTTAACACACTCATATGAAAATGTTGTTTTGCCATCAATCAATTCTTTTTGTGTTTTGTTTAGTTTTGTGAGTCAGTCCATCAATATTTCATGTTAGTTCAACATTTTTCATTTGTTTTGTCAAAGTTTGTAGGGTTGTGTGAAATATAAACTATTGCTCTTAAAGTAGAAAAAAGGCTTATTATTTATTATTACAACATTTGGTCACAACTCCACTAGCAGGTCTAAGGCACCAAGAAACTTAATCAAAGCAAGTTAGGCATTATTGCTCAGTAATAGGGAACTTATTATCTATTCAAGCAAATAGGTAACTAGTATTCTATTCTATTTCTAATAGGTAGCTAGTATTCTATTCAAGCAAATAGGTAACCAGTATAATTTTATTCATGCCAGTAGGTAGCTTATTATCTATTCAAGCAAATATATTGCTATATAAATATTCTATATATGGCAATTCAAACAAAGAGGTAACTTGTATGCTATTCAAGCAAATAGGTAAGTAGTATTCTATTCAAGCAAATAGGTAACTAATATTCTGTTCATGTCAATAGGTAACCAGTATAATTCTATTCAGGCCAGTAGGTAGCTTATTATCTATTCAAGCAAATATATTGCTATATAAATATTCTATATATGCCAATTCAAACAAAGAGGTAACTTGTATGCTATTCAAGCAAATAGGTAAGTAGTATACTATTCAAGCAAATAGGTAACTAGTATTCTGTTCATGTCAATAGGTAACTAGTATAATTCTATTCATCCCAATAGGTAACAAATATTCTATATATGCCAATTCAAACAAATAGGTAACTAGTATTCTATTCAAGCAAATAGGTAACTAGTATTCTGTTCATGTCAATAGGT